GTGATTGACAATTTTCATTAATCTTTGCGTGAACGTTTGTATATACTTAAATTTCTCTTTAATCATTCTTTCGCGTTCACAGTTTTTTTCCACTATTCTTTATATTTATATTACCGCATTTAATTTTTAATTTGCAAATAATTTTGTTCTTTATACTTTTACAATTCTCTTAAGAAATGTCAGAAACACATACGCACATACGCAGTCATTTATAGTCTAAGGTTGGGTAATTGACGTAATCATCTCTTACAATAGGTCATCCTATAAATAACAACTTTATTCATAGTAATAGATCGCGTTTTTTTATTGTAACAGAATTTACTTATTGCCATATCAAACCTGAAAATAGATCCAATATAGAGCTCATATTATATTAATAACTCGATTTATAAATTAATTAAATCGTCTATCTTGATAGAAGCACGTTTATGTTTAGCTCCAAGTTAAGCTCGTAGATATTACTTCCGGTATACGAGCGATTCGATTATCTCAAAAATTCTCACGTATGAATTAAATTAAAATATGTGTCGGATGACAATCGTACATAAATCGTATATGCGGCCAGGGCATGTATTTTCTGCATCTCTTATGGAGTTGACATAACAACTCGCGTATACATGCTTCCATCGTTGTGATGACTGGAAAAAGTAGGTTTCTGGAGCAGAGAGAGAGAGAGAGAGAGAGAAAGAGAGACGAGAGGAAGGTCCGGGCTTCTCTCTATACGCTCTCCGAAGGCCCGCGAAGAAACGCAATAGCGGAACAGAGCCGCGATAAGTGTTACACACACGCGATGAGAGTCGGCTCGTTTTTTTTTTTTTTTTTTTTGTGTATGTGGTTCGTTATTTTTCTCGAACGTTATCACCCCTCGCTTCTTCCAATAATAGCAATTGCTTCAATAATAATTACCTTTGACGATAACAACATAATACCTATCGTATCATCGCGAGCATTAACGACGAATAAAAGAGAAATGAACGATAATAATAATTTGTAACAACCGATCGGTTTCTCGAAAATAATAATCTGCCGCACGTATACGTATTTTTCCAAGATTACGCAAGACGCTCGGGAGAGACGTTCGATCTCTCCAGCCTCTTTGTGAAAAACTTTTCTTTATTTATTTTTACGTATCTCGGTCGTCAAAGGAGAGCGGGAGATGAAAATAATCATCCTCGCGCGCGAACATAATAACGTTAGACGCGTGGGCGTCTTTATGCAAAGATTTTTCGTAGAGAGCGAAGAAACGCCTGTGTCCCCGCAACTATTACGGTCGAGAGAGCTCGTTAAAAAGATTACTCCTTCTCGCATTTATAGAATCGCACAATTTCTGCTTCTAATTTTAACGAGGCTTCACGAAAAACGTATTATGTCCTTAGAAGAAGTTTTATTTTGTTCTCTAAAGTTATTTCTTTCGACGATATATATGTATGTTATATTGAATTTATTTATATATTTTTACCAGAGAACCTTTCTGAATCTTTAATATTAGAAAAATCAGATATATATCTCATATTATGTAAAATTAAAATTACACTTAAAAAAATTAGTGAGAAATAGTCTCTATTTTTTATTTTTAATATAAAATACGTGTTACATATATTTACAAAAAATGCATGAACTTATTTTGAAATAGGTACTGCAAAAAATGCAGATGCAATTGTTATATAGAAGAGTGACGCATCTCGCGAGAAAGCCGCGCGGGCGTTTTGCAGTGGCTCTCTCTCTCTTTCTTTCTCTCTCTATGTCTGGGAACAGACATGTCCAAGTATTCTTACGTAAGAATCTTCTGCTGTCGCGCACCACGTGTACCGGCGATCACGTTATAGCGAGCGGAATCCGATAAAAGCCCTGCGTCAGGACCCTGCGCCGACGCGACGTGTGTGAGCACGTGCGAATCTGCAGTTGCATAGCCGCGATTCTTTCGACACTCTGGTGTCACGGGACGGACGCGTGACTCGGTGTCACGGGACGATTTGTGAAAACGGACACAATAATGCACGCGCACGTGTGATCGCGCGTGTGAAGCGGAGAATACCTCTTCTTATTTGTACGTTGGAAAACAAAAACGTCGACGTAATCTCCTTTCATCCCGTTATAGCAAATATACATATATACTAAATATTGAGAATGTATAACAGCTATCGAGGTCTCGCTGCGCTTCTTCGATTTAATTTTCGATTACGTTTGCGCGACAGATGCTCATCGTGCAGTTGCCTGCCATAAATAACGGGAGCGCAATGTGCTCTCGAGATGCTTAAAAATAACCCGCCTTATGAAGAAAATGAAGCGAATCTCGTGCGCTCTGACGGATTCGTGACGGATGCTGTGACGCGTGAAATTTTCAGGAATAATTTGAAAACAACCACACGCAGGCGAATTTCTCGCCGCGATTATGTCTCACAATATCAACGCAATTAGCGCTGATATTGATATACGACGAATGATTCACGTGCCTCTTTCAATTGGCTTTTCACATTCTTTCTTAAAAGTAGGTTGGCGAATAAAGGTGGAGAGCAATTTGTATGATCTGGTAATTTTACAAATAATTTGATAAAAGGGTACGAATGTGTTCACATAATAGCCTTTTATTATGAAATTTATCCATGAGTTTGAAAATGTGTTGAAATGTAAGTACATTAATTCGACGAATCTAGTGAGTAAACTATCGCAAACAGTATTCAAGTAAGATATTATTTGAAAATTAATTTTCCCTGAGAATGATGATAGATGAACAAATAGGTATGGGAAATCTTGATTGAAATTACAAGTTGGACGAGACGTGTGTCGATTTTGATCTAAGCTCGACGAGGACGCCGAGGAACGAGTATGATAACGTAACTCAAATACTAATTATACGCTATAAGCATTGCCATTATGCGAGCATAAGTGCTCCCACCTGGATTCCCGGACAATGTGACTGGACGTCAGAGAGAGAAAGAGAGAGAGAGAGACCTTTGTGGAGTTTGTCTTACTCAACTCGCGTAAGCAGCGAGCCTAAGCGAAATGTCGTAACGCACAGCCGCAAACGAGCTAAATTATCGTTAACGGTAAAACTAGCGATAGAAATATTCGCCGCGAATAGAAGCCTGCGATTTAAAATTAATTCTCATTATCCATACACGGGGCCGTTGCCGTGTAATCGTCTAGAAAATTCACCGCCCCATAAAACATTCATATTCCCCGCGAAGTCTTCGAAGCGATGTGCTTGCGTCATCAAGGAGAAAAAGAAGACCGCATGTTAATATAAACAGTTACTCTTCACGTCCTAGATTCGGCAAGTGTGAGCTTGATTCTCTATAATAGCGACGATATTCCTTGTAATTCTATTTAACTTTACTTTCTCTTTGCATATCATACGAATTCAAGAGAATTCTACGAGTAACTTTCAAGTAGAATTTTATTTAGATATCAATTTAATTTAGATAAAGAAATAAGGCAATTTAAGATACTAATCTGAGGAAAACGGAAAAAATTTAATCGAAAGATTAGCGCGGAAGAAAATAAATGTAGACTTGAAAAAATATTTGTCTTGAATCTCGAAGATTGATAAACATTAAATAGCTTTATTCGATATCTGTATGAGATCTCGTAAATAATAATACATTTATCAATATTTTTACCTTTACATATTACAATATATATACAATATATTTTTCTTTTCTCTCTCTTTATTTCTTTTTAACATGTATAATATTTTTATATACATACTTGCATTTCTATGCACTCTCTCGGAACTATCTCGGCAGTTTGCAGTTAGCGCAAATGCAGTGTAGGTGATTGGCGAGAGCCTATTATGTCACAATTTGTAGTTGCAGTGGCAAGGTAGAGCCGAGCCATGAACCCAATAACAACACGTTGCACAGGCGCACGTGACCGATTCTCTTCGCAGAGGTTTTCCCGCGCATTATTCTCGCCTTTCCTCTAACTTTTTAGTGCTACAAGCGAAATATAATAACCTTCTCGTGATCATTCTTGAAAGAATAAGCACAATTTTTCTCAATAATACAAAAATATATTTCGTCACAATTTACATTTAATTATTATATAATTATTATAGGGAGAAAGAAGGGAAACAATTATTATTTCTATTTCATTCCTTTTTATTCTTTTCATTCCTTTTTCTCTTTATTAATAGTTTTAGATAATATAATTTTTTCGCAATGATAAGATATTATTTCCGTAAGCTGAAATAGATCAGCGCGAGGGTGAAGTATCGCCTATATCTTATTATTCGCGCGATAATGACGTTTCCATTTTATACATACATACATATATATATAGAACACGTAGAACGCGCGTGTTCGCGAACACCGTTACAGGCGACGTAGACAATCTTATCTGAATATATATGTATGTTTACATATCATTGCGCGGGATTTCAGTCCTGTTTTCCCCTTCCAAGGTTCCAGGCGTGAAGTAATCTCTTATTTCGATTTTATCTGCGTTACGTAATCGCATTCCAGTTACGCATCGTTTTAATGAAATGTACCTTTATAAGTAAGGGCTGATTTATAATATATGTACATTCATTTTTTATCATGTGTTTATCGTGATTTTGATTTAACACTTATTAAATTCTATTATTATAATATACAATAATTGAACTGTGTGTGTGTAGTTTATATTTAAATATTATAAGAAGTTTTCATATCTCTGGTACATATTAGATTTTCTTTATTAATTAATATATTGTTTTATTTTATTTTTCTGGGAAGGACCAATGAATTTTACAATTTATAAAATGGGAAATATTATTAAAATTTTTTTCAAAAAAATCATTAAATTATCGTAAAAATTTTGATATTCGCGCTTACATAAAATAATAATTGCATGAAAAATGCATACTCTTTTTTAAATTTTAATTAATTACTTATATATTATATTATAACTATTTATTGTGTGTACAAAAACAAATTGTGATAAAATATCAAGATCAAGTTTTGAAGTAAATAATATACATATAACTGAATATTCAATTATGTGTATACATGTATGTATATTTTGTTACAATATATTTTATAGCAATTCTTTTAAGCGGAACAAATTTGACTTAATATTACAATACGAGTATAAATATATTTTATCGCAATTTGTTTTTCTATGTGCACAATACATTTTTCTTAACGTATAATACGATAAGTAATTATATTATATTTGAATAATTGTAAGTAATTTATCGGGATTATTTTCGTAACTGTGAGGTTTTATTTTGCAACGTGATGTTGACGGATATTTTCGTCGCAATCACAGATATGTTCATCACTGCTAGAATTATTCAGGAATGAAGACGATGACGAATGACCTTTAAAACAATTAATCAAATTAGTTTTAGATAGTTAAAATTTGAAATCGAGTCTTAAGGTTTTAAAGAGTGAAAGAAATAATGTAAAATTTTACATGAAAGTAACACAATGATAAAAGTGTAAATTATTATGCAGCAAGAATACAATAAATAAAAAATGTATAAGATGGAAATATAGTTCAAGTACTATATACATATATATATAGTTTTTTAATTGCGGTACTTAGGTCTATACATATTTCTCACATACTTTCAGAAGATTTTCTCGTGCGCTTCGTTGAAGTTTTCTTACTATTAAACGATTTAGCTTTCCTCAACTTTTTCCGTTTATTTTTACTCTTGTATTGTTTGTTGTCGCAATGATCGGAAGAATCAGATGAATAATTATTTTTCAAAAACTTCTTGTTTTCTAAATTGAAAGAAATATGTATTTAATAATTAGACGAATTAATCTCAGGGTATCAAATTAAAGTTGATATAACTATTATAATTAAATTTAGATTATAATATATTTAGCTTTGTAGTGAGAATTCTGTACATATTTCGGAACCTTCCAGCTCTTCTTTCTTTGAATTTTCATTCTCAAATGTTTTCGCACACATTTTGGACATTTCTCTCTCATTCTCCTTGCTTTACTCTTTAGCATCGTCTTTGGCTTATAATCGCCGTAGCTGCAGCTTTCATTATCGCAGCTGCAAGTACGAGTAGTAACAGTCGAAGTAAATGAGCTACTATCCGATGAGGATAAAGAATCGGATTCTGCGAAACAGCAACAAAAGTTACTCGGTACTTTCCAATTTTCATCTTCCGCTGGCATTTTTCTGAAAAAAATATTTGCAATAGCATTTAAATATCGAATAAATTTGTTGAAGTTTCTACGCTATGCGCATAAAATATTACAAATGATTTCAACTTCTTTATAAGTTATCGAATAATAAAATAACGTTAATTATTTTTTTTTTCGATCGAATAACGCATGTATTACTAGATATTTTTTATAACTCGGAGGACAAGTAATTGCAAGAACAATTATAATATAAATGAAGAAAGATAAAGATTGTACATATGTACAACATATAATAAATCTCGTCAAATCTCGCAAAAAAAGTGGAATCTGATTTAATCCAACATAAGTATCACAATTTATCTGCAATCTATTAGGCACTTTGCATTTGTTCAATAAATATTAGAGATCTATCACATACTATTAAATTTTATCACACTTGAATCGAATTATAACACAAAAGGAAACGTTTCAGAGAATATGCGAGGACGACAACTGACATGATAACTTTACACAATATTTTGAATTCTTTTTCTTACAGTATTTGCCGTTGTAACCTTTCGGTATAAATATTTTTACATGAAATAAAATACATATACAGATGTACTATATTATTTTAAATATACATATGTAATAAAGAGAAGTAAAACATTTAAACTATTGCGCGATCGTAAATGATTGTCGTCTTTACATATTCATATTTCTGATCAGTTTTTTGGCTAAAGTATCAGCGAAAAGAGCTCTATATCAAGATATATAATAATGCACAATGCACCGATAATATCGTGATGTATTGATTTCTGTGTAAAATAGAAATATTGTTTGCGAAATTGCGAGTGCAACGTGTGGGCGTGTTGCGCCAAGTTATGCCATATTACACAGATCATTATGCAACGCGTGTATATTGACGCAATTCAGATCTGATCGCAGGCACGAGAATCGATCCATGGGAAATCTTGAATTACACGTTTTATATATCTCGTTTGCGCCGCCGTCGCCGCCGCCGCTGCTGCTATTGAGTAGTTGAATTGAAAGGGCCGTCGTGACTGCGATTACGTTAATTTCTTCGCTTATGATAATGGCACAGGGCGGCCTTGTGCTCGTAAATTTTCGTTTCATAACCGGAGGAATTACATATTGACACGCTTGGCGAGTCCGGCCGTGCCGAGAATCTAGCTAGATCTACATTGTGCGCGAAAAAGTCTAAATTTGACAGCCTTTAAAGATTAAATGAAATTTTTATCTTTAAATGTCAATTTTGTGTATCGAAAAATTGTTTATCGGAATTTCTTTGACATTTATTTGAAGCTAAATTCATAGTCCTCATTTTTAACGAAGCTAATTTTCTTTTTCGAAGAATCTAATCGGTTTGATTCTTTTTAACATAATTTAATATATCTTACATACAAATTAAATCTAGATGTACTTATCTCTTAAAAATTAACTGTGATTGTGTAATGTTTTTGACGAGATTTCTGTAGACATTTCGAAAACCATTCGGAAAATACAATTTGATTCGATAGCTGCGAGCAAGGGTGATGAATGTTTACGGTGTTCCATAGGGTGCGTCAGAATAGCGTGACTCAGTCGTTACGGGGATGACGTAAGAAAATGGGGATTTTTCACGGTTTCCCAGGAAAGGAAGCGAGAGAAAGGCATTAGCGTGATATCTTTAATCTTTCTATTTCTAGATTTCTATTTATATATGTATAAGCATTAGGGACCGGAAATACGCCCTCGAAATTAAGCAACGTCGCCATGTCTCAACGAAATGACATGTATAATTATTCTTAATTGGAAAAGCAGAGAGATATACGTTATTTTTATAAATATAAAAACCTGTCCATCTCTGTAATGAATTAATGCAATTAAATAAAACCGGTATTTGCTCATAGATTTCAATGTATATAACGTGTCGGAAAAAGTGAAAAGGTGTTTGAATAAACTTGGAAAAAATGATATAAAGTGACATTTCATTGGCAATGCTAATCATGCGTTTGGATCATCGCGAGTTGTAAATTGGAAGCGAAGGCATGTGCAGGAGTTACGAATTCGCTCTCGCAATTCTCGACACGAAATCGCGAAGACGAGGTGATTGTGCAGCGTTTTTCCACCTACGAGCGGTAAAAGTACGGTCCGTTATAGATCGTGACGGGACGTCTGTCGTGACTGTCGTGCTTATGCAACTCTCGGATTTGTAGATTCTGATTTAAGCCATCGCGAGCGTACCAGAATGTCCATTATAATACTCTACACGTCAGCTTCCATTCATGCGTCTCCCTTCTCCCAGATTTGTTCCATCATCCACATGGTGGACCGCCATCCCGCTTTGTTTTCGCGGTCCCGCGTTTGTTCGCGTCGATGGTCCCTGTCAGAATCGACGAGAGCGGCGAGACGCATTTTTGTCAAAGGTCTTCGTCATAATAATCGCGCCTCTCGACATTTTTATCGTAATGACGTCATTATTTAATAATTTAATATATTAGAAAAGAAGGAACACATTTTTTATATAAACTGCGGATTACAGATTTTATTTTTAACTTTCTCTCTCTGTTAATTTTTACAAAATATTACACAAATTGTATACATTATGACATGAAAAGAAGAAAGTGCGATATGAAGATGATGATAACATACAGTAGATTGCAATTGATAAATTATGAAAAAAACCTATCAAATTGGAAGAAAAATAAGAGATTTTTATAAATTTTTATAAATTAATTCTTTTAAATCTATTTATTGATTATCTTACACAATCCGTTGATAAAGTTACTTGATATCACAGTATATATGTATATACTTTTGACTCCATCTGTTGATGAAACGCGGAAATAATATATATCGTACGTATGATAATGAAGTATTATATTTGTTATATGTACCTATATATAGATTTATAAACAATAACAAATTAGTATTGTCAAATTAATTATCGCACCCATTAATATTGAATAATATTGAATTGAAAAAGACATGTGCACAATCGAGAGATTTTTAATATACATATAATGAAAAGAGTTCAATTATACTTTTTATTTATTTACTTTTAATTAAATTTGTTATTCGTTACATAGTTATATAAGAAATTGGATTCAATATAAAATTTCTCACCTAAAGATCTTAAACAGGATCTAATTTAAGCTCTCCTTTCAAACCGAAAATTTGACTTGGATTTTTCTTGAAATAATTTTTCCTCGATATTTATAATGAGCTGTATTCTTAATGAGACTCTTCTCTTCCGCATCGGAATTACGTCGCCCCCGTTCACTTTCGTTTTCCGGGGTGGTTGTACCCCGCTCGAATCGAGAGATTACGAAAGACCGCAAGGGGTTGCAACCCCTCGAATGCGCAGCCGCGTTGACCGCTGTCCACTTCTCTTAGAGTCGAATTGTTCCCCACCTGCTTATAGGCGTTCAAGTATAGCGTCCGAACTACTATTCTCGCGAAGTGAGGCGACGCGCGTGCTACAATCAGGAAATAAGACTCGCTTCTAGTATTTCGCGATCAACCGGCAAAATAAGGGGCTCCAGGGTGGCGAACGGCGAGCCGAGTGAGTAGCATTTTCAATCGCGAGCGTGCCTTTTCGATCTCGAGGAATCTTTCAAGGAAAGAGAGCTTCTTCATTTTCTTTTCACTTTTTCCATTTTTCATCTTCTCATTCATCTTAATAAATTTCCGATCCGAACACGCTCGAAATGTTTTTTTTTTTTTATTGTAATGCGATGACTGTGATTAGAACGTGCGGCGAGGAATAGAATTGCCGGAAATAATTAATGACGCGAAGAGGCTAATTCGATCGGCCGAGCTCTACTTTGAGTCTTTGTTGGACGCATAGCAATGCGTCGTATAATGGAGCATGTATTATTAATCGGATAAAAATTGCGGGGAGTTTGCGTTAGCTAATGCGCGACGAGGAAGAAAGAGAAGTATGTATATGATCGGACTCGATGGACGAAACTTTTTTCGAGTCGATAATCGCGCGAATCGTCGTAAAGCTTTTATGAGAGTAGATACGATCTGCATTTTTATTTTTACAAAAAGTAGGGTAAAATTGCTACACACCTCTTCGAACCTCTCTCCTTCTGTCATTTTTTCTTAGATCGTTTCTCTTTCTTCGATAGTTTTACTCGAAAAAAATGCAATGTATGGCACGCTTGCGGATGATGTTTTATTATATCTAATATATGACACACCGCGTCATCCTCGGGAAAGGACGACGTCGCGACGCCACGAGTCGATGGTTTATAGAAAAAGAAAACCGTGACCTCGCAACATAGTTTCGCTATAGAATCCGGGTGCAACAGTTTGAAGTCAAGGCAAAGAGTAAAGCGTAGTCTGGTACCTCGAATCGATATTACGAAAAGGATTATTACGCGTAAATATACCTCCCTTCAAGTTTTTCCCTGGCATTTGATCGGCGTGTCGCGCATCCTTGATCGCCCGCACTTTTCTTCTCCACCCTTTTTTTCCGACAAGGGCGATTCCAACGGTTAGTCGCAATTACGCGCAATTTATTATTTAACGGGAATAATCGATGGCTTATGGATACGTGTACCGTGTCGCGATAGTACATCCTCCGCATGACAATCGTCATTTTCGCGATGGTACCGCGACACGAGACAGGAAAAGAAGCCGCGCGTCGTGGCTCCTCGAGTCCTTCTCTCTTTCGGTGCGAGTGAAAAGGCGCGAATAGTAGAGTCGCGGGAACTATGCTGGCGAGATTGAGGAACTTCCGCTGCAGAGTGCCCAAATGTCCGGCTATCCGTATTCCAGGGATGGAGAAGCCGGAGTCGTCCGCGGGCGGCGAGAGCGTCATCGAGCTCGAGGACCGGGATCCTAACAGCCTGAATCAACATCTTCAGGTAAAGAAGTCGCATTCTTCGCTTTCAACGAAGTATGTGGTTATATTCGCGTCCTTATCGTAAAATATTTAATCGTTCAGAGGTATAGGTGGTGATTTGTATAAGGCATAGGTGCTAATTATATATGCTTATATTTCTTCGATCGATCCACGAAAGTGCGAACCTCGAATTCGATATTGGTTTTTTTTTTTTTTCAATCGTATAGTACGATAATTCAATTCTCTTCTGTGTATATAAATAATTTATGCATCGCGAATTAAAAATGCGCTGTAATTGCAATTTAAGTTTAACGACACAACTATAAATTTCATGCAAAATAAATTGAATTTCTGTAGATTTTGAAATTATCAGATACATTAGCGCTGATGACGCAAAGTTGTTGAAAGTCGCAAGCTACATTTTCGCGAAAACTAGTAAATTGAAGATCGATGGTCGTCGACGTAGATTAATGGGGCCTTAGATTGAGTCATATTTTACTCGTAGCTTTAGTTTGCGAAAAAGTTCTGACGTTTGTTCCATCGACCATTGTGCGATGATTGTTCGTTCCCAATATAATTCGTATGCATGCGGGATTAATCGCACAGGTGATGTGGGACGATGTGATCGGGGAACCGGAAGGGATTCGTAGTCCCGAATGCGCCTGGCGACTGAGTGGACATTGTTTCCGTCTCTCCAGAGGATGTTGTTACGTGCTCCTCTCCGTTCTCGTGGCGCCTCTGCTCGCTCTCTGTTTGGGTTTCACGTTCGCCTGCCTCGCATTTCAGGTGAGAGTCGATAACCTCCCCCGAGTTGCGTGCGTCCGTCTCTTTATGTCCTACCGATCGATTTCTGATATCCCGTTCGCGATATACTTGCTTTTTAATTATCCCGAATAGAATATATTATGAGTCTTGCCGGGATAGAGCCGGATCGAGTTTGCAAAATTGATGATTACAACATTCAATATTTATATTTATGTTTATATCATCTATATTGCATTGAAATATCTATTTGATATGAATATATTCGTATAGGAGAAAAATTTTTAAATATCTGTTTAGTACTAGCTTTAAATAAAACAATTTTTGTTTGTTTTTTTATTTAAATAAATGTTTAATTTTTTATCATCCTAAAGCAGAATAGAAAAATTGTTTAATTATTATAAATACGTACCGACAATCGCGCGTTTAGGTTCTCATACACTGGCTTTCTTTTCTCACTGAATTATCGGGTAATTTCTGCACTATTCTTTCTTCTACACCTTGATTGTTGCTTGCAGCATATTTGGTGCGTCGCGCCGTGTCTGCGCGTGTGGAAAATCACATGCGCGGCGATGAGAAATTTCTTGGCGGCGGTGACGCACGCGATCGTCCGGCCGGTCATGGAGGCGATGGGTTACCTCTGCCACAATATCCGCATATTCAATCAAAGACTGCCGGACGGTCCTTATCACAAGGAAGACCTGTTGGTCGTTTAATCGATCTCGGCGAATTAAATTCGTATATGATTATCAGAAGTATTTCGCATCTTTTTAAACAGGTGATACGAACATCAGCGAATGCGAGGCATTGATAAATATAGTATCGAGATAGAAAGTTACGTATCCTCTTTCTCTTGCGAGAGAGAAAGAAGAGATATTTAATTCTATATAAGATACTTTCTTACATCTACCTGCGATACGCCCAAATGCAGAATTGTTACACGAAATGAAAAAGAAAATAATTTATATATTAAATTTTCATGTGAATATTAATAACATTGAATGCGCATATCGTACATAATCGGGAAAATATATTTTTGTAGACTAAGTTTTACTTGTGCAGTAATAGCGTCAAGGATTCTGTTGAATTATATCCGCAATACTATTACATGTGCGACAAGAGTTCTGCTGTCAAGTATGTATTGTATTAGTAAGTGTGTAAAGGTCTCCCTTGTGTGCTCTTTGGCCTTGTAAAAGTATAATAATTTTAACCCTGGCGCATGTCTCGCGGGGTAGTTGCAGATCGCGAGTTGAAGAAGCTTGCGAAGCAAATTGGTCAATTTTACGTGAGACAATCTTTCTCTTGTTCGTCTTTGTTTGAGTTTTCTCGAGTTTAGAATGCTTTGTTGTGTATATTTTATTATCGGGGGGATAAGAATAATGATTCTCTTTCAAGTGAAAAATAATTTAAAACGCGAATTATAAAATTGTTCAGAAAAATTAATCCAAAAGCTTAATGTAATATAAATTATTTTTTAATAAGAAGATACATACAATTAAAGAGCATAATAAATATAATTAAATACATAAAACTAAAATTATTAATTGAAAAAATATGTATGTATTGTATATTATTGTTATTATGTCGTTAAAAGCAGAAAAAAATTAGACTGAAACAAAAATCCGTCCACTTAATTATTATGTAATTAATATTAGTGCAATTTATTATTAATATTTCGTATATAATTTCGTATAATTGTATAGTTTTGTATAATTTCGTATATTTTCATTATAATATCTTTATCATTAAATTTGTCTATTTTAATTATTTTTGATGAATTTCGTTTAATTATAGATATTGGTATAAAAAAATTTTTACAACATTGAATTATAAATATAAATTTTCTGCAAGAGAATTTTTGGGAATATAATATAGAATCTACATAAAAGTAGCTTATATTTAAATTTTTAATTTAAAGTTTGAACCTCAATTTAAAAGTCCTTAAAATTCAAAGATTTTCTAGCAAAAACTTTTTGTAAAAATCATACGCAATAAAACATACATGCTTTAAAGAATCAACAGTTATTCAAATTTGCCTCCAAATTTCTAGCAAGCCAATGAGAAATTCAACCAATTACGTAAAAGTAAAATGTCATGACGCTATCAGCTGACGAGTCGTCAACTGCTCAAACGATATTCATCCAAAATGTCCAACAAATATATTTAGTACAGTTTGCAATACTGAAATATTTTATAAAACACTTATCAGTGTTTTCGATCGCTCACTACGAATACGCCTTAAGAGTCATCTGCTCAAGCGATTATTAAAAACAACAAGTCAGTGTTTTATCAGTCGTTGCTCAACATGGCGAGTAATATGCAGAGATTATTTTTGAGAGCCGATCGTTTGTGTCGTGTTAATTTCACGAGGCGTATCCTTTGGAAATTTTTCAAAGATTAGCTAATTAAATTGATTTGCTAATTAAATCACATGTGTTCCAATATTTACTCGTTACATTGTCCTTAAATCCTGAATCAGAGATTTCCGTCTCCACGTCACTTCGAGTAAAAGGTAAGTTATATAATTATTTTGAATCAATTTTTACATTTTTTAAGTAGACGTAGGTACAAACAAATGCACAAGTAGCTTCATTGTGAGATGATCTGTACTGATGGTCTACAACAGTGATGAAATATAGGTAGCAGCACAATAAAGGCTCTTCTCAGCCGGTAGCTTGTTTGGCTCGGTCGATTTTGCTATCTCATCTTTACTGATAACTGATAATATATTTCAACATCTTGTAACACACATACATTCTGTTATTATATTGTTAAGACGATTGCATGATATGTTTTTACTAAAATTTTTACAAATTGAAATTGTTATTTTTATTTTAATTAATTTATCCATCTCTCAGCCATGTTCGATTGGGAGGATCCGTTTGATCTTAGGTCGCAATTAACGCAGGACGAGATTCTGATGAGGGATCAGTTTCGTTCTTACTGTCAGGAGCGATTATTGCCGCGCGTGATCGAGGCAAATCGCAAGGAGCATTTTGACCGGGAGATTATGAGGGAGTTGGGCCAACTAGGGATATTGGGTTGCACCATGAAGGGTTACGGTGCTGCCGGGGCATCCTCGGTAGCGTACGGGCTCCTTGCCAAGGAGATCGAGAGCGTCGATAGCGGATATCGATCAGCTTTATCGGTGCAATCTTCTCTCGCGGGTGGTGCGATTTATATGTACGGCAGTGATTATCAGAAGGATCGACTTTTGCCTAAAATAGGTAACATAATAGAATATGTGGAAAAAGATGCAAAAGTCAAAGAAGACATTATATCTTATTGAAATTGAATTAATAATTGATCAATGAAATTCAATTTCTCTAAAAAAAAAAAAAAAAAAATAATTAAATATATAATAATTTTTATATCGGAGCTATAGACGATGATTTATAAGGCGTATTTTAGTTTCCGGGGAAATAATTGGCTGTTTCGGTTTGACGGAACCTAATCATGGTAGTGATCCAGGATCCATGGAAACCAGAGCGACTTACGATTCCGATAAAAAAATTTACAAACTAAACGGCAACAAAACATGGTTGGTTTAAAAAAAATACTTTTCATCTATATTCTTTTACTAAAACTATTCTCTCTCGATTGGAAAAATCTCACTGCGTCTCATTTAGGATTACAAACTCGCCCATTGCCGATGTATTAATAGTATGGGCGAAATGCGATGATAATAAGATTCGTGGGTTTATCGTTGAGAGAGAGACCGCGGGAGATGGATTATCTACGCCGAAAATTGAAGGAAAATTTTCTTTAAGATCGTCCATCACTGGAATGATCTTGATGGACAACGTAATTGTACCTGAGGAAAATGTGTTGAACGTTGAAGGACTTAGAGTAAGCCAAGTATTTTTTTAGCAAATTAGGAATTTATATCTCGCATATTAATATTTTTATATATTATTTATTTTAATTAATTATTTATTAATAATTTTATACAATATGTCAATTCCAAAAATTTCTGACTGATATATGTGGACTGGGATATATCAGATGGTACGTCACATATAATTATAAATATTGTTTTGCACTATAAAATCTGAGTAATGTGGGATCATAAACCTCTTTGTGTGAATAGTTATAAAAATCTCTGCTTGAGTAATTTTATTTTTATTTATTAAAAAATACTGAAAAACCTATAGGTGTTAAAATCTTTTGAAAGTTATTCAGAGCCATAATCCTGGTAATGTATATCAGTTGGAAATCTTGCGAACCCGACTATTTAAAGATAAGTATCTAGTAGCATTAAACTCTTAATAATGATTCGGCAAAGGGACCTTTCAGTTGTTTAAACAATGCTCGCTACGGAATCGCTTGGGGTGCGTTGGGTGCGGCGGAGACTTGCTTCAAGATTGCCCGATCTTATACTCTGGAGAGGCGACAGTTTAACAAGCCACTGGCAGCGAACCAACTTGTGCAAAAGAAATTGGCTGACATGATGTGCGACATCGCGATCGGTCTTCAAGCTTGTTTGCGAGTCGGTAGATTGAAGGATGAGAACAGGTAAAACTTGCTTGAAATCGGGCAGACGAATTTTAAGGGGCAAAATTAATATAATATTTTGTTAGATAAAATATTAATATTCTACATTCAATGTGCAGTGGGAGTTTTAATATATTTATAATATAAATGATGTATGTATATTATAATGCGAAATTATTATTTTGTAATGATTATATTGAGAAGAAGATGTATAAATGTGTAATAATAATCTTTGCGCGCGAATATGCGAAAAATGATTCTGCGTTCCGTAGAGCCGCTCCGGAAATGATTTCTGTCATAAAGAGAAACTCGGCCGGCAAAGCGTTGGAGATTGCGCGAACCGCGAGAGATATGTTAGGCGGAAATGGGATTTCGGACGAGTATCATGTCATCAGACACGTGATGAATCTGGAAACCGTAAACACCTACGAAGGTAACGCCAAGATTATGTCGAAATGACGGATATTTAACGCAATCAATGTAATGACGGTGTGACGCGTGTTATTCGAATCTATTCTTTTTTTTCACAGGCACAACCGATATTCACGCGTTAGTCCTCGGGAGAGCAATTACCGGCATTGCTGCATTCTAAATCATTCTTTTTATCAAATGTCAAAGACTATCTTTTTACGATATATGTATTATGTGCCATTTATATTTTCATAAATGCGAGTTGAGATATTGTATCGGCAATTTCTAAAAATTTTCTATGTAATAAAATTGCCAATTTATAATACAATTTTGTACACATTTTAATATATGCATATTAATATTGCTGAAAACGTTTTATCTCTTTTTGTTGAAAATGAGATTTTAATAATTATACACTAATTGAGAGTTAATGTGTAATATTTTAAATAATATTTCAAATATATGATAAAAAATGTTTGACATAATGGAATTAAACTCAAAAGCTTATTATTTTAAATAATAATTTTAATAAATAATTATTTCCTATAATATATGTACTTTAATATATGTGTATCATTTTTTACGAGAAATACAATTTTCCAAAAGATATTTTATTTTAATAAAGTTATGTAGATTATCAAGTTTGAATGTGAAATATGCTAAAAGATTGCTCTAAACACGTTGCAATAAGGCTTTCATTACTTGGTACAATTTATTGCTCCTTTATTTTTTCTACTTTATGTTTTAACAATTTTATGGTATGTGTTTTTTCACTAATGCGTTCTTTCACATTCGTTCTTGCTTTCATCTTTCGAATCGTCGTTCATTCCATTTATTCATTCGTTCAGGCCTAGATATACGGCTTTTTTCTATAAAATATAATCACGTAATGAAAATTTAAATCAAAACCTTTTCCTTTCTTCGAAATTATAAATTTCATAGCGATTTCGATTTGATCGTCCCGAGTAGTTTGAATTTGATTCAGATTCTCAATTTTAAAGTTTTAAAATTGCGCATTTAGAACATGAGATGAAGTAATTAACTTATTAATACATTTAGGATCGTTAAGCAGGCAAACGTCATTAATTAATATTCTGAAAACGTCTAGAATTTTTAATGAAATTCGAAATTATGAAAAACTGAAACTATTCCATATTATAAAATGATAAAATCCATATATGAATTTCTAAACATTGATCTTTGCGATTCTTCTTCTGATTTCCTTAAATTAATCAACCGAATAAATTATTATTTCTTCGACATTCACGCTTACTTTCTCATTCACTTTTTCTTTCTCTAACAATTAGAGCTCCGTACAAATATACATGTGTATGTGTATATATATATATATATATATATATATTTATGTTTATACAGTGCTTTTAGAGATTAATTTGATATTAAATAAAAATATAAAAATCTATACGTGTCTTTTTCTTTCTCAACTACGGTTGCTTATTTATACGATGTCACGTAATTTAAGAAAGCGCGGCTGCTGCATTGTAATTCACACTCAATGATTTCATTGTTGTGTACATACATATATCTATAAAAAATTAGCACTGCATGACCGACATGTGTCAGCAAAGGTAACTAAAATGTCTTGTTAAAAAAAGTGCGTTAAATAACATGACGGCTCATTCTGCATTCTCCAAGGTATTTTCTCTCATTTGTTTGTTGATCATTTTTTACATTATTACCATCTTTTTCTTGTTCCTTTTTTCGAAATCTTTTTGAAAATGTTAATTATTTAATTTAAAGTATGATGAAACTAAACGACTTTTAATTACAAATCGAACACATATATTCTACATTTATCTTAATTTAAATAAGTATTAATTAACGCTATTTATTAATTTAATTATTTAAGCTTCTCAAACATTTTCGAAGGATGTCTGAATAAAGATTATGTAGAATTTACTTTGTAAATTAAAAAAAAAAAAAAACCGATAACGATAAATAAAACTATCTTCAGTTTAATAGTAAATATTTTATACAAATTTACCGTTAAAATCATTTTAAATCGTCGATTATTTTTTTCTAAAACTTTATTTTAATTAAACTCATTTTTATTAAAATTTATTAGAAATTAAAAGAATCAATAATTTCGTAAATTGAAAATGTTATTGTTTTTTTAAGTCATGATAGTATAAATCGGCCTCAAAAAGTGCAGGGAATAGTAGACGTTGGAATGATTCCATTGCAGTTTGCCTTCGATCGATCGATCGATCCTCGTGATTAATTGCACACGATCCAGCACCTTTATAGTAACGACAACAAGGGCGCTCAACACAAGCGACTCGAGTAATCAGAAATAAATTAAGTTTAATTGCTAAGTAATAAAACGTTAATTACATATGTCAATAATAATTAATTTAAGTTTACAACACACGTCTCGTGCAAAAGTGTAAAGAACGTTTGTTTTTTTTTATCGTGCTACACTCAATACCATTGTTGTCTTGTTTTTTTTTCTTGTTACGACTTAATGTTGTAATGTGTTTGCATATGTATGTCATGTGTGTCTGTGTCTGTATGTGTGTTAATGATTCTCGACTACAATAAGCTCTTGATAAAACGTAGTAACATTGTTTAGTTTACAATTCGCCTCTTTCTCCTCTCGCGGCTCTCGAGATCGCGGATGTGTCTATTACATAGTTGCACATCACGGTATAACGTCGGGATCGAATTCATACTTCATTTTTGTGTCTTTCTTTCAATTGAATCCACGTGGACGACGATTGTCGAAGTCCGAGATAGGACAATTTATTTCTCAATTGCGGATCTTGAGAGAAATTTTGGAACGCCTCGCGATATTCGCGAATTCGATCCCGTCATCTTTACAAGTATCGATCATCGGGTCCGTCACGCGAGAAAATTCAATGGCACGCCGGAAACCGTCGCGACCGGAGTCGCTCGGGTTCATATAACCACATTTTGTTGCCTACCAACGGATACACGTAATTGTAAATAAATTAATGACTCGCTCTCCCTGTCTCTCTCTCTCTCTCTCTCTCTCTCTCTCTCTCTCTCTCTCTCTCTCTCGCTTTCATCTTCCTCCTCTTTCTTGCAGTTTCGCTCGACTTGTGGTATACATCGCGATTATGGATATCTCGACCTTTGTCCTCCTGTCAACGTCAATACCTCGAATCCTCTTTTTTTTTTCTTTTTTTACATCAATATCGCGACTTGGAGATTATGAATTTTGTAGGAAAAAATATGAAACACGCGGGTGAATTCTTCGGGTGCCTTTTTCTGCCGAATATGCATATAATTTTGTGATGCGAATATTAGTTGCAATTTCGAGTGTTGCATTACCGGACTCGAGGTATTGATCGCGATACTTTGGGAAATATATAAACCGGATAAATAAAATGATCTTTTTCTTCTTTCTCCTTTCTTTCACAACGAATGGAAAAAGTAGAAGAAATCGAAACAACGCTGTCTAAGTAGCGCGGTCTCTTTGTCTACGCCGATTTTTCCAAATTTTTGACAGGAGCTTCGACATATCATCCTGCGTTTACGACTGTCGTTTACTCTCCTCCTTTTTGCATCCAGAGGGTGGAAACCAGCAGTTTCGCGTTACGCGCCCTTATACACGAAGTGTTTTTCGCGCGCGCGTCACAATATAATAATAATATATAATAATATATAATAATAATAATAATAATAATAATGTATATTCTGCTTTTGCACTTGTATTTTACATTATTTCATTTCTGATTAACTAATCGATACCTTATTGTCGTACGAACTGTTTTCATGGTTTTCTATCGCTTTCTTTCCGTTCCCTTCTGCCTTTCTTTTCCATTCCTTTCGCCTCGTTCGAGAGAAAACATGATTTCGAATCTTTTGAACAATTTTTCTCGACTTGTTCCACTTTTCTTCATCCCGCCCTCTGTCTTGTCTCTCTTTTCTTTGTTGACTCTTTTGCTTCGATCGTAATTTGTTTATGAAAGATTGGACGAGCCGAGGTAGCAGTCGCAATATAAATCGCAAGAGGGATGAGAAGTTTTCGAGAGAATGAAAAATTAGAGAATCATCTCGTCTCTTTCTCTCTCTCTCTCTCTCTCTTTCTCCCTCTCATCTTTAGTCCTCGAACGGATGAAAATGAGAGACTTTTCTTGCCCGGGAAAGATTCTATCGATGAGTCTCTCTTTTATATTTTTTTTCTTGTTTTTTCTCTCTTTTTTTTTCTTGCCGTCGTTAAATTCTGCCGATTCTTTTCTTCTACCCCTGCCCGTGGAAAAACGAAGTAAAAATTCTCTGCGAGTGGGGTGGAAACTAGATCGATATAGACACCTAATATTGTACGTGGTCGTCGTCGATAGTTTCTAATCCACTGGATATGTGTCACGTAACGAACTAACTATCGAGACGAGCCTCTCTCTTGGCGCAATATATAAATAGATTCATCGAATTTTATTCTCTTTCACACACACACACATTCTCTCTCTTTCTCTCACTCACTCTCTTTCTCTGATTCTCATGTTCAAATTTAAGACGCGTAACAGTCGTTATCGGTCGATCGATCGACTTGAAGATCGCTCGATAATCGTCCTCGCGACGGTCAACACTGTTCACCGCAATTAGTGGTAATAATATCCGTATTTTTTTATATATATATAATATATATATATAATTTTTATTTATACTTATGTTCATATTTATATATTTATATTTGCATTTATATTATATTTATATCTATATTTGCATTTATATAATACATACATATATACATATATATGTAGATATCTATACGTATATATGTATATATTTTACGTTTTCTGTCTTTCTTTCTGCTTTTCTTTCTTTCTTGCCTTTCCCTTGCTGTTTAAACTTTTATGGTGTGTGTGTATATACCTCTCTTTTTCAACTACGTTTTCGTCTTATTTTTTTCTCTTATATAACAGAAACATCTCGCATCTGTCGTCGCTTAATAATTAATAATCATTGCCATCAGTAATGGTATAATTGTAGTAATAATGAACCTTCTCTCCTCTCGCAACTAAAATTATATTTACATTTTTATCGTACATATTGATTCTATCCGCGTGTGTATGTGTGTATGTGTGCACGAATATGCATACTACTACGTGTCTCGAAATTGCCTCGATCAAATGACATTTCGACTTTTCAACATTACACCATCGTTTTTTCAAATTTCTTCATTAAAATAATTTTCCGTTTCCGATACAATTAAAATATGTGTCCCGCGCGTAGAGGAATAATCATTTATAATAAAATTAATGGTATGGATTTCTTTTTTAGAGTAGAAAACAAAAGGAATTCACTTTGACACATTAATATACATCTACAATCTTTATAATAATTTTAAATTACGAAATTCAATTACAAACAAAAGAATTTGTCGTTATTTTTCCCAATTAATTATCGTGATCATACAAATCGTCAAATCGAAGGAGCGTGAAAGACGTGTATTATTTTCCTTCTCTCGACCGCGAAATTTTTACATTCGATCGAGCATCTTATAACGTGTCCGATAATAAGACACACAATTGTCTCGAACGAGGGAATTTGCATGAGATTTCGCGCGCCAACGTGAGTCCTATCAACTTTGAACACTCTCATCCGAAAAACAGTTCCTCCTTACACGTGTAATTATATATATATATTTAATATATATATATATATATAATTAAATTATTATTATAATATATATATATATATGTTTATTTTGTACTGTATACGATCTTAACCGACGACCGAGGAGGCCGCTCGCGTCTCTCCATGGATTCATTCTTGCGTCGAAAAAGATTTTGCATTATTTTCCCCACTTGAAGCAAGATGGAGAATTATATAGGTTTTTTCTTTCTTTTTTTTTTTTTTTTTCAACGGGAAGTAATGCAAACGTCCTTCTCGCGTTGAGCCGAGCTGATTCGGGTAATCTAATCTTCAAACACTCAGAACTGATGCTCGCTTTGAATAATCGTTTATTTGAGACGTCGTTTGTGATAAATTAATAATAAATAATGAGAATAGCGTCAAGAGAAGAATGCTAATCAACCAACGTGCAATGTTAAGAAGAAATCGTGGGTCGGTGTATTTGAATTATTTTAGAGAGGCGATTGTTGGTGGTTGTTGTTGTTGCACAAAAAGCGGTAACATACCTCGAGTCGTCATGCACGCTCTTTCTAATTGAGGGGAGGGGAGGGAGGGGAGGGGGTCGATATAACTTTACAAAATGTTACACAATTACATGTTCGATGACGAACTGCTGTAGCTTCGAGAAAGTTGCGAACGCGATGCCGCGCTCGCATTTTTCTCTTTCCTATATCCTAAAATATAATAAATTAAGTAACATATGCCGTAGATAATATCGCCGAATTTCAACATTCAACGAGCATTCGAGTGCGAAGAAACGACGCGTCATTTCACTCGCGAGACGAACGATTCTAAAATAGCGGTGTGTGATCGAGCGATTTTCGAGTTTTTTTTTTTTTTCTTCAAAAGAAACAATCCTAAATATTTGTATCGAGAATTTACTCTTTCGTCCTCAAAATAATCGATTAATTCGATTAATTCGATTAATTATACGAATAAGGTCAGATGCATTTAAATACACAATATTATATTCTAGACAAGCGCAATTTTTGCGCGATTCAATAATAGTTGAAATATTTTCTTAAATTTTCCATATTTAAAATTTTTTTGTCAATTTAATAGAAATTAAGAGAATGGAATTTATATAAACTATTTTATGCAGAAAAACAAATTATTAGATATATATATATATACGATATTTCGACTAATTTTTATTCCTGCATAGTCGAATTTAATTCGTTCGTCGATACCCTCGATACTTTTGAATCATTCTGTGAATTAAATCTCGGCGATTCACCCTGTATGATTACTCGGACTAGCATAAACGATCCTTTTACAATCACGCAAAAAAGAAGGAGTGACGTAGAAGTGTCGCTCGAACGAAATCTCGCAGAACTGATCGCTCGCCACATCGCGACGTGTGTGTGTGTGTGTATATGTGTTTCAGTGTGTATGTATGTGTGTGTGTATGTGTGTGTGTCGAAGCACAAAAGAATTCTCGCTACGCAAGAGCCACAGACGCAGAGTGCAAGTCGGCTAGAATTGCGCTTTTCTGCAATCAAACGTCACACCGATTCGTTTTCGCCCAGCTTGGCGAACGCCGTCGCTTACGTAATAAAAATGTGTGTGTGTGTGTGTGTATGACTGTGTAAATCTATCTGTATACATATGTATGTTCTCTTTCCTTTTTTTCTTTTTTTTAAAATATGTACAATAGCACAGCACAATTGCAGTACGATATCGAGTGCGGCTCGCAGAGTCTCTCTCTCTCTCTCTCTCTCACTCTCTCGCGCTTTCTTTCTCACAGGCTCTCACTTATTCTCGCGGTCTCTGTCTCTTGTGGGAGACCGCGCGGTATAGCGCGGCCATCCGTTTTAAAAATCGCTCTCTTCTTTCCCTATTCCACACGTCTCTCTCTATTTCTCTCCCGCCATCGGTTCGCACAAAAGAGCGTCCATTCTTCCGAGATGTACATGTTTATACATACATATTGTGTGTGCACATGTATATATACATACATGTATATACATATATATGTATACATACACATCACTTGGCACGTGCACCCTCACACGAAGCCACTTTGAAAATTGGTTCACATTTCGTCTGACCAACGAGGACACGGACGAATCGGTCGCGCATTCGGCGCCGCTGATTGCGCGATCATCATCAAACCTCACCGCTACTCGTGTTTGGGGAAAAGCGCCGATTAACCTCTCGATGCTAAATATTAAAAAAAAATAAATAAATAACTGCTCTTCGTTCTAATTGCTAAGATTGCTTCATTCGCAATAAACTTTTCATAGAAATTTAATTTGGAGAGATTAATTCTCAAATGCGTCATATACTAAAGTCTAACTATATGAAAAAACACGCGCACGCGATAGATAATAGATTTTATTTAAAAAAAATAAACGAAATAAACTATAAATATATATATATATATATGGCCTCGAATGTGAATATATTGTAAGAGTCAACACACACGCGGTAGGCTCTTTTTGAAATTAGCATGAAGCTTCTTAAAGTCGCTGCTTTAATTAGTATCGTTGTTGAATGTCGGAGCTTCTACAAACTTGACAGTCTCTCGACTATTCTCGTGGATTAAGAAAAAGTAGAAAACGAGCGTTATCTAAATGTTCACTCGATTGTCAGAGCGCTTTGAATTCCGCGCGACAAGCGCAAATATTAAATGTTTGCCTTCGCGATCTCGATCCGCTTAAAGCAACGACTATTCTACCCTTAAGAAATAAGATAACAATCGATATCCCGAGACAAACTTTACTAAACTAAACTTATTTCGGGGCAACGAATAAACTCAACTTTAACCGCGCGACTTTAATCGCACGAAAAGAAATAAACGTGAGCATTCTCGAAACGATTTTGACTCGGCGTTATTAGCACCGAAAGCGGATTTAGAATTCAAGTTTCAGAGTTTTGACTAGAAGTGAGAAACCGTTTTGCGAATTAAAACGGCGAATGGTCCTTCCTAAAACATATTACGATAGACTAGAACGTTTAAGAATCGGGCACAAAAAGTCCAGATCAACTTATGCTAATATGGCAAACTATGGCACAGAGTTTGCGAGGTATTCAAAGTCGAGATACGAATGAATCGTTTTATCGTATATTCTCATCTTGAAAATACAAAACTATATTCACGAGAGACAGCTAACTTATACTGCGACGTGACGTTGAAATAAATACCTATAGCTCTGGTTAAAAATGAAATAAAGGAATTCAATCTTTTTTTTTTTTTTATGTAATCGTCATTCTCAGCTCTTATAGAATAGACTCGTCCGTTTTCGACTTTGAACGTTGACTAAAAACCTTATGATACAATCTACTGATCGCAAATACTTGGAAACGCATCAGTAAAAAAAAAACAAACGCTAAACTGATTTGGATCGCGATCACATTCGCGGGAACTGCAATGATCGATCGCATTCAGCGGCTAGGACGTTCTTGTCCGACACATTTCGATCATGGATCAATATATAAATGAGAATCAACACAAGCTTTATGTTGGATAAAATTTCTCGACGTAAATAAACGGTATTTTAATATATATATATAATATTGAATCCTGAATTTTTCGATTTTGCTTGAATGAATCGATTCTCGAAAAAGAGAACAAAGTGGATGATAAGAAGAAAGAAGTAGTAGTTGAAATAAATAAAATATATATGTTTCGAGTCGATCTCCCTAACGTAAAATAATACTTTGGTTTCGATCGAATGTGTCGACAAGGACACGTCTACGAGGTAAGCCCTTACGAGAAGGGCAGATCCTCGTCTGGCGACTCGTCGTGGTACTCCTCGTGGTCGGATGTGTGTCACAAAACGTCGCTCGGTTGGCGCTGTCCGATGCCTATCGTGGGCGACAATTGTTCCTCCTCGACCGCCACCGTCTTCGGATCCTCGTCCTTCCATTTGTCCATGGAGCGGCGTCGAGCGTTCATGAAGAAATTGCCGACCGTCGTCGGTTCCAGGCCCAACTGCCTCGCGATTGTCACCTGCATCTCCTTCGACGGCCTCTTGGTCTCCTGCGGAAAATTTACGCTTTTTAGATATTATTTTATATCGTTATTCATTTGTTCGGTGATTCGCTTCATTATACATATTATATAAATGTCCACACATGTATAGTCCACTCCATTATTCTATTTTTCTCTAATTTAATTTATTTGCAAATGTCACTTTAATTACGCACATTTCGCAAGATTTAATTATTGGGTTGTGTTGATTAGTGTCGATAGCAATTTATTTTTGCATTTTCATATTTTTTGTGTCGAAGAATATGTATGTAATATATATATATATATGTATGTACATATATCGTTGATTGATAAATCTTGTTTGTCGGCCAGTGCATTTATTACGTATATTTTAGTTTCATATTCTATTATTTCATTTAATTACCATTAGATATATATATTTTCCTTTTGCATTTTTAATTTGGACATTTTACCAGTTTACTTGCAAGAGGGAAATCGAGCATTTGAAAAAACAAATATGTATAAAAGGTATAGAATTAATTGAATGTTTTCTTGACGAGTTGTCAAGGGACGCGTCTCTCTCTCTCTCTCTCTGTGTAGTAAAAGAGTAGTATAATAAAATATTCTATTGAATTAATCTCTATTTTCGTCCTATCAAGAGAGATTTAGACGCACATTCAGATGTAGATTCGGAGTACAATGTACTCTACAAAGGGCTGTGTGTGCCAATTTCGACTATGCCATGGGAAAGTATTGGTTAGTAATAATTGTTACTCCGGCAATCGATATGTATACCCTACCTCGAGTCGCGTTATTGATCGGGCTACGTTGGGTAAGAAACGTCGCGTGGGAAGAAAACGTACCAGTCCATTTACCACATATAAAGAAATGTTTATCGTCCACCGAACGAACGATGGATTATTGTTACAAGTGTCAGTTTTGTGTTTCAAGTATCTTCAAATCATTCATTCGCATCTTCTCGATTTTTAATCCACAAACATATAAAATATAGATTTGCACTCTGCGGAAAAAATTGGGTAAATTGAACCAAAAGAAAAAATACATCGAGTTAAATTAGTGAAATAAAGTCAGAGCGATTTAAATTCGACGAAATCTCGATATTTGCGAAATTGCGTAGCGGCGTTTTCCTCGTGCGCTCTCATACAGTGAAAGAGATGCGATTTTCTTGCCGTCACTTTCGAAGGGCTCTCTCTCTCTCTCTCTCTCTTTCTTTGGCAGGTAGTTAGGCGCGATGTATGACGTGACGTGTGTACACGCGTACGTTCGCGCGCGAAGCTGAAACACACATCGTCGGTGTGCATAGCGCACACAGTGGCTGTCAAGGAATAATCACGATGCCTCGTCGCGATAGTGTCCCGCATTTCCAACAATTGATGCGCCGTTCTATACGGAGCGGGCACCGCCTTCGTGTTTTGCAACTGCAGCTGCAGCGAAGTCCGCGCGGATACACGCGTATCAATAGCCGGCAGCGACAACACGCGGCTCTCTCTCTCTCTCTGCGAGCCTTAAACGAAGTCCCGGCGCGTGTCCGGCGCAAGTTAAGCGAAATTAACGTCCACGAGTTAATTAAAGTACGCCTCTCTCTCGGCCGCCGCCTCCGCTGCGCCGCTATGCCACTGACGCTGCTAACCGTTGCCTTTTCCTCGGAAAATCGAAACCCCGTCGATTCCACGCGTCACCGCGAATTAAATTATTAATTAATTTCGGGGATATTTAACGGCTCGAGCGCGCACGGCCCTTGAATTCGGAATTATTTAATCCCCCCGCGGCTATCTAACCGGAGAATTCGTGCCGGTTAGCTGATACACGTGTGGAAATTTTATTATTAAATTTCGATAAAACTGCTTTTTCTATCTCTATAAGTGCACGATCCATTAAAAAAATCTAACAAAAACCACTGTTCAATTTCTCGTCATCTAAAATGGGATTAAATAAATTTGGATTTCTCCGTGCACACAGATTTCGTATTGCAATTTTTATCTATTTGTTATCGAAGGTCATTTGTGTCTTTGCGGCGAGTGCAGGAAAAATTATTGCTCGTATAAGAATCGTTGTCGCGTCTTGGAGAGCGTGCGTGATGGAAAGAGCTTCGGGGTTTTTTTTTTTTTTTTTTTTTTAAACCGGGTTAAAATTTCAATGCAAAAGGCCGCGTTCCGGGACACTCCTGCAGAGTGCCGTTTCCGTAATGAAACGGAATATCAATTATATCTTTGCAATTACAGCAATTAATACTCATTCCGATGGAGGCCGGAAGGCCGCTCGCCGTAAAGGCGGCGCGATAGTCGCTTTGAGAATATAATCGAGGTTGCGAGCTTTATATTATTGCGTCCGGGGACGCAAATAAAAGTCTCATCTCTCCGGAATCTCCGCGCAGCCCATTATACTCAAATCGCCCTTCAAATGTTTTTTTTTTTTTTTTTTTTTTTATTATATCAAGCTCGCGTATTAATTATCTCTACAATTAAAGCAATTAATAGCAATCGCTCGCAGGAGAAGCACGCGCCTATACGCGTTTAAAAAGGGACTTGTCCCTTTTTTCGAGGAGAGAAATTTTATTCTTCTCGAATGTGTATGCGTTAAACGCGTCTTCTTTGCCTATTAAAGGAAATTGCCTTCGTGAGTATAGTTCGTACCGCACTCCATTTCGAAATGCAATTTATTTAACGAAGGATTATCGATTTTTCCATTCTTCTATATTCAATTTTTAATTATTCGATATCTCTGAGAATTAATATTATTTTAATATATACGGAATTATTTTATTTTAGCGTTATATAAAAGATCCAAATTTGGAACATGTCCACATCTCTCTTAAATGTAACTAGAGGAGAATAATTTATTTTGCACGAGTTTTATGCGAACGTTTAGGTTGATTTATAAGTCTTTTCTATATATATATAAAGTAATGATTAAAATATCTTTATGTTTCAGTCTGCGAAATATTAGATAGTAATCGGTTGATTTAGAATTATTATTTTTATATTAGCATACTCGTTGAGATGTATCCTTAAATCACCCTAGCGTGCTGTTTTTTTTTTTTTTTCAAACATCTTTCCTCTAAATCTTTATGTTAAAGATACTCGCGAGGATTAATTTGTACGAAATCCGAGCACGCAATCGAGGAATGATTCGATAATCGCGCGGAAAAGATTGCGCGCGATTTGGAATGTACGAGTACAAAGTAGGCTAAGGTCAATTCGCAAACTATTTGGCGTCTGTCCAGGAACTCGAGAGAGAGAGAGACTTTGTTTTTATTTCTGCGCCGCGATCACACGCGAAGCACGATCGCGATAAAACGCGAGTAAAACGTTGAAATCTCGTTAAAGTGGGCTCGATTTCGAGGATTAAAATGCGCCGACCATTCGCTCGATTCTAAACTCGAAATTTCCGCCGCGGCTACAATAAATTAATCGTTTAAACTTATCGTTCTCGCGCAGATTCTTGGACGAGATTGTGCTGCTCGGCATAGTTTTTCAATCACTCGAGATCCGCAATTTGACGCCATTATTGTCATTCGATTTGTATTCGAGAGAAATATATTTCTTAAACTTCCAAACACATACGTGCGAGCGAGATAATGGATCCGACTAATTTTGATTTAAATTTAATTTACAAGAATAATTATCGTATATTTGATTTAGTGATTTACTCGCTTATTTCAGTCGAGCGCATTTTTAGTGTGCCATTTATCCGCGACTTCTTAATGAGATCGATCGCTGTTTCTGATTCAATTAATCCGATCAAGCCATTCTTTCGCTCGGGCTTAAGTGACATTAACCGAAATGTACACGAAATAGAACGTCGGCTTCTCGTGCGATTCCGCAAATCGTATCCCGAATTACCGAGTCCGATGAAATATCGCGTCAATAATCCGGAGCGATCGAACGACTCGTCGGGATTTATCGCATTTGATACGGACGACAAACGCAGGCGCGTGCCGAAAAAATGGATCATTAAGAGTAATACTCAACGTGCATCTCCCCCTCCAATCGCGCGCAAAAATTTCTATTCGATCTAAAGGCAATCGGTTTTGCGACAAAGCAGAAAAGTTGATTTCGCAGAAAAGGCAATTTCGCAAAACGCGCGCGCGTGCCGCGCTATTTATACGATAATTTATCGCCATCGGAAACGAGTTATCACGTTTCATTGTTTCGCGATGCGTCCGCGCTGATTGTAATCATAGTTGTAATAGCCGCGAATGTAACCGATGTAGCCGATTACATATCGAATTCGATCGATTCCCGCATTTGGCGGATTGAAAATATCACGTTATCTTGCAATTCTTCGATACCAAACGATGCGTCCATTAAACCGCAATTTGCGTTCCCTCCAAGTAAGGTCATTTAAGGACATTTCGTAACTGTCGTGAGAAAATAAATCGCTCTCGGAACATGGGACAAATTTTGCCTTTTTATGTAATGCTGAAATAATTTATTATTATTTTTTTTTTTAATATGGAACTGGAAAGAAATTGAAATATTATAATATGAATAAATATATATATATATGGCACTTTTAACATTGCATCTAATTGTATGTGTTTCAATAAACATTCCTGCTTTTGCGGTGTCATCAAATTATAAAAATGTCAAAGTTTTCCGCGTATCCATACATTACTTTATTCATGACGACGTCTCTCGTTATCGAGACGTAATTACCATGATGTGCTAAAAAAAAAAAAACGCACTCTCGGCAGCGGTAATTTTTCACGGACGTTAATGAGGAAACGGATGATATCAATGGCCATTCTTGAAACGCGGCGACGGCAACGGCGTTACAAACAGCGGACTGGAATACGAAGCGCATAAGTAAAGAACCGGCCGCGAAATTATTCAAGACCGATCGATAGTCGCGCGGAGTGCGCGCTGTCGGTTGACGCGCGCAACTGAATTTCAGATATCTATAGGGCACACGGAGGGAACGTGTTTTTCTTCGAGTGGAAACACGGCTCTCGCCATCGCAGAGACATTGTTTCTCTCTCCTTTTACTTTATTTATTTTTTTTTCATTAAAAATAATAGGCCGCACACTGCCACTACTCTGGACATTTATTTCTCTACTTATATCCTCAAGGCTAAGAAGTAACGTAGACTAGATACGTGTACAAACAGCTGTCTCGAATGCATCTTATCTTATCTCAAAGTTTCGTCGATTCTTCTGACGGATCTAAGGGATAGTGTATCTTCTATAAGCGGTTTATTTCTCCTTGAAATTTATTGTTGGGCAAATTAGACGTCGGAAATGTTTTTAATACACTTTGCAACGTCGCTTTATTATTCCCGCAAATTTGGAAAAAATGCTAGAAAATCCAATTAGCCTCTCATATTAAATTCATCCATATGCAACAACGTTGAAAGGTGTAGTACAAGATGTTGTACAATTACGTGTATAATCCACGTATTCATATATACAATTTCCTGCGCGAGGTTTACTTGGTATAGAATCTATATTTTAAGGAAAATATTTGCCGTTGCAGGACAGGTGTCTTCTCGCGAATCGAACGCGATGAGTGCACAATATGCACTTTCGACCGCGAAAGTTAGCCGCCGCTAACAAGCGGCGATAGCGGTTCTCTCAATATTCATTTGCCTGTGCACATTGAGAGGGAAGAGGGCAATTACTATCGATCACAAGAGGGTAAGAAGTTATGTATTGTGTGTGTGCGTTTGTGTGGGTACTCACTTTAAAAATAGCCTGTAGAGTACGGCGCTGAAGGTCTGTGAAAACCAGCCGCGGTTTCTTGGGGGCGGGCTGTTGGTGTTCTGCCTGGTTCGCCATCTCGTCTTTCCTCTTGCATGCTGAAATTAGAGGAATTCGTCAAGATTCGTCCCTGATATGCTCCAATATACACGTCCAAACTCACGCGCGCGTTCCGAGAAATCGAGAAACCGTGTATGAATATTTAAACGCGCGAGTAATCTCGTTTATTATAATACACCGCTGCATGCTGATATTTATAATAGAATCGACTGTATTTCGAGTTTTCGAGTCCCCGAAAGGAAAGATATAAGAGATAACTGTGCGCTTAAATCGATAATAGTGTCTAACTTCGGTCATCTTCTAACGATATTTCCACATGGCAAAGTAGTCTTTTCAATTAAACGCGCAATTATTCATAATTGGTTGAAAATTGACGGATTTTAGATTCGAGTTTTAGCAAATTGATCCAACAATTCGGAGAGTCTAAACTCTGAAAAATTCAAGCTTTATAAATTTAAAGAAACAAAGTAGATTTTTATCAATTAAATGCGAATCAATTAATTCGATCAATTATTCGTTACGAGATGAAAATTGATATGTCGATTTTCGAGAATAAGATCAAAATAACCGATAATTTAAGAAATTTGAGCTTTGAAAATTAAAGGTACATAAGTCTAAAGATTCCAAGACTATTATTAAAAGCTAGCCTTAAATATTTCAAATTGTCGACAATTTTAACTAGAATTTATAGAAATGGAAGCTTTCGAGAAAAAAATAATGTTTTGTAATAAAATTATTTTCACTCCATGAAATCTAAGAAGATGAATTAATAATTTATAATTATAAAAATCGAAACACACTATTATCGAAATCGCGTTTAATAAAGTTTACAAAAATTCGCGCTTTTTCGGTTATTCACGAGACAAAAGGGCACGTCGCGTTGACATTTTCCATGTTTTCCTCGCTTCTACGCCCCTAAAACGATCGACGATAATCGCGAAAATGGTGCAAAGTAATGGAGAAGGGGTGCTGAAAGATGGGTGGACGGGGTGAGGATGAGAAGCAGTGTTGCGATTTTTCGCTTCTTTTTATTTTCAAACGTAATTTAATCGTACTTACTTCCGCGTTGTGGAATCTGTGCAGCTGAAAGCAGAAAAAAAGACCGATGTTAGTCAGTAGGAACATGGCTAGATGTCGCACGACCTTTTTCTATTTTTTTTTTTTATTTTCTCTTTTTTGGCAGGTCGTTGCCGTCTCTTTTCTCACTTTGTTTCCGCGTTCAAGACAAATATACACATTAAAGGAATATATAGGTTTACGTAATGTAGCATGTACACAAGTCATTAAGATATAGAAAGGAACTGAGTAGCATCACACGAATCCCAAACTTAAATTCTTAGCTACTGGCTGGCTTGATAAAAATCATACATATCACTAAGGGGTTACGTAAAAGGGCAAGGGGTCGGATGCAAGTGTCACATATGCGCATTCTCTCTTTCGCATGGGACGAGATAGGGGGTAGGATGCGATGGATCTCGTTGATCCGGAGACTGGCGAACCTCCGAGTCTCAGGATCCGGATACGAGGATCCATGGATCCTCGAGGATCCGCGCTTTCCGGAATTTAAAAATTCAGAAAGGCGAGGGTCCTCTCGATGTCGTGAGTACATTTCTTGTGTCTGTCTTTCTATGTATAAGAATAGAATGATAATGTTGTTTTTTATTGTGGCCGTAATTATATGTACATGTGTGTATATATATATATATGTGTGTGTGTGTGTGTGTGAATATACAATATCTTTTTCTCGTTGGCGTCTTATTTATACATGACGTGTTATTTATCGAGTGTGTGTAAGCGACTTGATTAGTCGGTCGCGAATCAAATTTTCATCCCTCGATGGATCGCGGTGGCGAGCGAAAAAGAGAAGGATACTCCTTTAAACGTGTGAGAGAAAAATCTCGCGCGGAGTCTCCTCTCATCTGTCGCGCGGTCCGCTGTTATTATTATTATTATTATTATTATTACATAGCTGGCGGAATGAAGGTGGATCTGGGTTATTCAACCGCGATTGCGATCCTCAAACGACGCGCGCAAATATAGTTCCCGGTATATATCGGCGATGACCAATTTTATTCATGCTTTTCACCGCTCGGGGTACGTTATAATCAAATTAAGGGGCAGCTGTGTGACGGCTTTTCTATTAATTTGCAAGTAACCGATACGAAAAGAATCGTTGACTCGGCATTAAACGCGACGTCGGGAGAAAAAAAAAAGTGCTCCCGGACCTAAATTGCAGCCCACGTACATATTACGTATATATATATACACATATGCGCTCGCATACACACACACACGTACGGCACACACAAACACACATTCAGAAATGAATACATAATAATTGATCACCAAGCCGCACCAAATTGTTAATAGCTATTCGAACGCAATAGCCCTCCATTCATCTATGAAATAACTATATTTTGTCGTTTCGAGTTTAATGGCCCTTGCCGATCGATATGCGGCGCTCTTTCGGTTATAATAATAACGACACTGCGTCGTTTTCAATTTGACCGTAAAATTAGTTCGAAATTGGAAATGAATCGCGACTTTTCGCGTCGCTCTCTCCTCCTACTTCTTTTCCTCCTCTTCAATTATGTAAATTCAAAAAAGGGGATCGACGGGGTTTTTTTATCCCGTTCGCTATATATCTCGCGTCCATTTTCCCGCGATGGCGATGGGATATCGAGCCGGAGAAATGTTATATATATTTAAGATACACATTTGCTCTCTCACGTCCGAGCCTTTGATCGCATCTTTAAAATCTCTCGAGTTCATTATTCGGGGGATCGAACCCTTTCGGCTTTGTTTCACACTTTGTTTTGTCTCTTTCCCCGTTTGTATTTAAATAAATAAATAATTCTCCCGTTAGCGTTTCACGGAAACCTCGCCTCGGTGGAAGGGGATGAGAAAATAAGAGAAACGCGGAAATCTCCTTCCTTTGCTGCCACCGCGCCGGTGAAGGGTTAATTTTGCAATATGGCGCACCGGAATAGACGGGGGAGGCGAATGTCGATCCGCGTCGCGAGAAATGAAACGTCAGGATGGGCTCGCGCGTGTCGCCGACATACACGATCGCCGAGGGCAAAGGTCGCGGCAGACCGCTGGACGCGACGGAAATGCTGGATAAACGCGAAAGGCAATCGTGTGCCATTAGCGAGCGGGGCCGATAACGAGTGAAAGGAGCAGCCGGACAAAAAGAGTGCCACGAAAAAATAGGGACAGCTTCGGTAAAAGAGGGGGCGGAAGGGAGCGGTAAGAGCGAGCGGATGGGACGAGATGGAAAATTGACGCGTTCATTATTGCTCGGAGCTTTGGGAGCGGAAAACAGAGAGAGAGAGAGAGAGAGAGAGAGAGAAATCGCGAGTCATCGCTGATCGACTTGTAGGAGGCACTTTGTATACGCCTTTTCCGGCAATCGACAAAACAAATGTGTTTATCTCATTATTTATGACTAATCTAGGTGTATTACGTCGAAAACGATTCGTTTTAACTATACATTTCGCGTGTATCTGCGTAGATATTTGATAGATTTCGAAATTCCATTCTTCAGTTTAAAAATATTTATTTCGATATTCATTATTCACATTGGCCAGTCAATGATACGATTGTTTTTCTTACTTTATATTGTTATATCGAGATATTGAAATGTCAAACAAAAAGGTACTTTATTTTTATTATTCTTCCATTTAGGTATATTTGTATCAGTTTTAGTACACATATATATATGTACATAAAAATTTCTATCTAAGAATAAGATGATTAATTTGACAGAAAACCAGTAAGAAGATTCGCGAAATGTATTCAATAAATGCGATCGAATTATTTGATTTTGTCAGTTGTTGTATATCGAGGGTAATTTCAATTTGAGCATTTTAATCAAAGATTACATATTTTTGGCGGACAATGAGCGTATTAGCAGAGCTGTAAATGTGATTGGAAATGGGCAACAAATTAGAATTAAAGAGAGGAAACGACTGTTGTCGATTCTGTCAAATTATCGCACATTATTGAGAACCGATTCTCTATAGGGAAATGCGATATGAAAATATTGTAAGTTATAGTCTTCATGGCTGTGCCATTCTTAAATCTATAACAAATTTAACGAAAAGACGTGCCAACGATATTTTAAATTGGCGTTTAAATAATGTAATAATTAATCGAAAGATTTACATAATTTCGATTGATTTAATTTCTGGCCTTATTAGCAATTACAATTTAACCGATAATTCCATGACGTTTTAATACATATATCGTCCAATCGCTCGAGAGATTGAAAATTGCACGAAATTTTGAGATACGATCCATATTCGTTCGTCTCGTTTAAGAAAGCGAGTCGTGTTTGATTTCTTGTAATTTTATACCTCGCCGTTTATGAAAACTGTAATAGTCGAGAAACTGAGACACACGACGATGACACACTTTTCGATGCCTTGTGAAAATTTGAATCGCGTCAAACAACTCCAATGTCAAACCATCCTGATTTGCGTGATAAAGCATTAACGCGCCGGTCGCCGCGACACGAACTCTTCGGAAAATAATTCAAGCGACTACTTTTGCACTTTGCGCTTCGAGAAACCGTCGGTGACGGAGAAAGACAGGCTTGGAAGATGCACGGATGACGTGGAAAATATATAGTTTATATTTGTATCGAAATTACTACAATAATACTACAATACTACTATATCGTATTTCTAGTCTTTTTTTCTTCAATTAATTTTCTTATATACATTAAATATTGCGAAATACTAAAAAAAAAAATAATGAAATCGTTTTCCAGAGATAAAAGTTTTCGAAATTTAGATATTTATACCGAATGTATAAAGAAAGACGATAAAAAAATGTAATGAAAAGATACACGTGTACACGTGGAAAATGTATTTAAACTTCTCATCTTAATATTGTACAAAGATTAATTACCGAGATATTTATTATTCATGAAATGATAATGCATTTTTCTTGACACCGAGTTGGACGAAGAATCCATCTACCGCCGTAGTTAATCGTGAAATTGAAGCGTGTTAGAGCTTCCATACCATATATCGAATTAAAATCAATAGATTTAATGAATAAAATCAATCGTCGGTTAATAAGAGTTTCGAAAATAGCCGCGAGTCGGGGAATTAAGGAAACAATATATAAAAGCGAGGGGGTGTACCACGATCGGGGGCGGTGGACATATATCGGGTGAGTTTGTCAACGACGCGGTCGCTTTGACGAACGGCCTCGTGCAACAGCAGCCAATCGGACCGCGTGAAAAATCTGATGGAGCACGCGCGCGCGCCGATGTGGCTTAATCGAACGTGGTTCAAAGTCGACGACGATGCATTTGTCTATGTGCATCGCGCCTTGGCCTGTGTGCGTTACATACGGACGTAACAAAAGCGGAAGTGGCGGCGGGGATGCTCCCGATGCTTTGTGCCTGCGCTGGGAGAGAGAGAGAGAGAGAGACGGTGCTCGCTCGAACAGAACGCCACGACAAGCTCCACGTGGGTCAAAAGGTTACAAAATGCACCTCGCTAGAAAATGCATCCTCAAGAAACTCTCTCTCTCTCTCTCTTGCTCGCTCGGTGCATTCGATAATTTTGAATGCAACGTCAATCGCGGATTTAGGTCACACGAGAAAATAGTTGTTTTTGTGAGCAACAGAAAATGGATTTTTATTATAAGGTTAGCCATTTTTTTACCTAAAAAAAAAAAAAAACAAACTGAGATAAATTATTAAAATATTATACAAATTATAGCCATTTAGCGTTACTAAATATTACTTTGAATTATTAAAACGATGATTATTAAGAAATATAAAATTTGTTATGAAAAATGCAAAATTTGTCGAGAGTCACTTGATTGAAGAAGAGGGACACGCGCGTCTCGACCCTTAAAGGCTAATATACTAAGGGGTAATGTAGTCGGAGACCAACCATCCCCGTCCCCCTTCTCTCTTTCTCTCTCTCTCTTTCCCGCGGATTGCTTCGTTCTCCAATCAAAATCGAGTTTGTCACTTGAAGTCAGGTGGACACGTTCGCCCACATACTCGAGAACGGAGAACTCGAGCCGCTGTTTGGAATAACTCAAGAATGATTGCGATC